CTTTCAGTGTTATCTCTCACCTGTCACAGACTGTTGCAGGGATTCAGTCTTGTCTTTTGGATTGTCTGAAAGCCGCAAAAGAAATTTGACTTGTTGTGAGTCTTTGAAATAATATATCGCGCTTAGTTTTTGAACTTGTTTTTCAGCCATTCGTTTCTCTACTGTGTTTTAAAGTATTTCTGTCTCTGTTGGCTGTCACAATCCTGTGTGTCCGTGTGTCCTTGTATCGGTGTGTCTGTGTGTGTGTGTGTGTGTCTGTTTGTCTGTCTGTCTGTGTGTGTGTCTGTCTGTGTGTCTGTATGTCTGCCCCTTTCCCATTATCTATTAATCAATCTTTCAGCTAGATAGAGTATGTCTGTCTGTATCTCTATCTCTCTTTCTTTCTATCCCAGGTGTCCTTCTGTTTAACACTCCAGCTCTCTTGGCGAAAGAGAATGGCAGTGGGATTTGGGGGGGGGAGTGGAGAGAGGGAGAGAGAGAGAGAGAGAGAGAGAGAGAGAGAGAGAGAGGGAGAGAGAAGGAGAGAGAGAGAGAGGGGGGAGAGAGGGAGAGAGAAGGAGAGAGAGAGGGGGTGGAGGGAGGGAGAACGTGCATAGCAACTGTACTCAACAAAACGATAGACAGAGACATTAATAAAGAGAAAGAATAATAAAGAGAGACAGAATGATATAGAAAGAGAGAGAGAGAGAGAGAGAGAGAGAGAGAGAGAGAAAGAGAAAGTGAGAGAGACAGACAGACAGAGAGAGAGAGAGACAGAGAGAGAGAGACGGAAAGAGAGAGAGCATAGCTATATTGTACTGAACAAAAACAAAAGAAAGAGAGATTGAAAGAGAAGGAGTGAGTGAGAGAGTTGGTGACCGAGAGAAAGAGAGAGAGAAAGAGAGAGGGGGAGGGAGATGGAGAGAGAGAGAGAGAGAGAGAGAGAGAAAAAAAAAAAGAGAGAGAGAGAGAGAGAGAGAGAGAGAGAGAGAGAGACGGGGGGAGTTAGGGACAGAGAGATACAGAGAGTAAGACCATAGCAACTGCACTCAACAAACCCGTTCTCGTCTGGATTATGACGCACTCGGTCATGTTTCCCACGTCATCAGTTTCTGAGATCTAGAGACAGACACAGTCTATTGAGTGCTTAATTATGATTATGTCAGTTGATGCATGTTCAGCCCAATGTTATGTAAATGACTATGTATCCATTTATGTATCTTGCAAACTGCATTGTGTATATTGTTTTATTATGTATTTGTACGTGCTCATTTCGTAACGATGTATTAGCGTGCGAGTGTGATAAGCGAATATATGTGTGTGTGTGTGTGTGTGTGTGTGTGTGTGTGTGTGTGTGTGTGTATCTGTGTGTGTGCGTGTGTGTGTGTGTGTGTGC